AGCCCAAAGTCCCAAACCAAATTAGTGAATAACCAATAGCCAATTAGAAATTAGAGGTAATCCAAAAGCTTCAGCACGCAGCTTTCCGTCTTCCATCCCTGCGCGCAGCTCAAGCAACCAACGAAGTGACGAACCAAGCAGTGAAGCAAGTCAGCAACCATCGCAGCAAGCCGGATGCCGTACGCCGGACGCCGGACACCGCCGTTCTTTCGTCGCCCACCACTTTGACCGGTACTCCTATAGTCCTATTTTCAGTTTTTCTATTTTTCCCCTTTTTATTTAAATTTAAATTTTGGCAATTCATTATACATTTTTTTAACTAAATTGTCTTATTAGTTGTTAATTTAATAGTGAATGTAGTGATTACATACAAATCAAGGCTAATTAGTTATTAATATATGAATTTATTGTTGTACACTTGTACAATTTGTTAGGTTAAGAATGTTGAAATTCTTAATACCGAATGGAAAGTCTTCAAAAAGTCCTTCTGAAGAAAATAAAAGGACAAAACTAAATCCCGAATATGTGGTTGCTGATCTAGGTTTACGTAGACCTATTAATGATTTTGATCCTTTGAGTAGAGATCTTGTCCGCCGAGAATACTTAACTAGGGGTCCTTGTAAACCGATTGAGCATGTTTATCCCCGTAAAAAAAATGGGACCGATTATAGAAGTTTTCAACCCTCTTGGTTTGACAAATATCCATGGTTAGAATATAGCATATCAAAAGATGCCGCTTTTTGTCTATGGTGCTATCTCTTCAAAAATTCAAATAGAGGATGTCGGGCTGGGGAAGTGGCATTCACTGAGGTGGGGGTTAGTAATTGGAGGAAAGCACTTGAAACATTTAATACACATGTTGGTGATGTAGATAGTGCTCATAATAATGCAAGAGTACAACTTGAGGGTTTTCAAAATCAAATACAAAGTGTATCACAATTGCTAAGTGCTCAAGGGCGTGAAATAGAAGCTGCATATCGAATTCGTTTAACAACGATTTTGGATGTAACACGTTTTCTTTTGAAACAAGGTTTGCCCTTTCGTGGTCATGATGAGTCTTCGAATTCTTTGAATAAAGGTAATTTCCTTGAATTAATTCAATGGTATACCCAAAGAAGTAAAGAAGTTGCCAAAACAATGAATGAGAATGCTCCCGGGAATAATTTAATGACATCTCCTAAAATCCAAAAGGAGCTAACTAATGCTTGTTCTGTGGAAGTTACCAAAGTTATTCTTGAAGACTTAGGGGATAAAGTTTTTACTCTTATGGTTGATGAATCTAGAGATGTCTCAATCAAGGAGCAAATGAGAGTTGTTGTGAGATATGTGAACAAATTTGGACATGTCATTGAACGTTTTCTTGCTATGGTGCATGTTAATGACACTTCGGCTCTTTCTTTAAAGAACTTATTGATGACTTGTTTGCAAAACATAAATTGTCAATATCAAGATTAAGAGGTCAAGGATACGATGGAGCTTCTAATATGCGAGGTGAGTATAATGGATTGAACGCTCTCATCTTGAAAGAAAATTCAGCCGCAAGGTATGTCCATTGTTTTTCACACCAACTCCAACTAGTTGTTCTTGTTGTTGCTAAGTGTAATAGAATTGTGTGTGACTTTTTTCAATATGTCACTATGATTGTGAATGTTACCGGAGCTTCATGTAAAAGAAGAGATAGACTTAGACAAATAGAACATGAGAGGCTTCTAGAAAGTTTGGAAAGGGGGGAGATTGTAAGTGGCAAGGGGAAAAATCAAGAAGTTAGTTTGAAAAGGCCAGGAGATACTCGTTGGGGATCACATTACATTACTATTATTCGCTTGATGTCTATGTGGAGTTCCGTATTAAAAGCTCTTGAGAATGTGTATGAGGATGGTGCTAATGAAGAGCGAGGAGTAGCTTCAAGTTTAATTGATAAGATGGAGAATTATGAATTTGTATTTGTGATGCACTTGATGATATATCTATTTGGAATCACAAATGAATTGTCTCTTGCCTTGCAACAAAAAGATCAAAATATTGTCTTGGCTATTCATTTGATTAGTACAATGAAGGCCTAGTTACAAGAATTTCGAGATAATGGATGGGATAATCTCTTCAAGGAAGTGAATCTTTTTTGTGAAAATCAAAAGATTCCATTATCTAATATGGAAGAACATGTGAAAGTTCGTGGTCGTAGTAGGCAAAATGGAGAGACAATTTCGAATTTGATCCACTTTCGTGGGGGAATATTTTGTGAGGTATAATTATTTTACATCTTCTTTTATTATAAATTGATAATAATACTTTTGCTCAATAATGTTGTCTTTATGGTGTGATAGGTTCTTGATAAGATGATTTCAGAGATGAGCAATCGTTTTCCTGAAGCAAGTACGGAGTTGTTGAGTTGTATTGCATGTCTTGATCCAAGAAACTCTTTTTGTCATTTTGACATTGACAAATTACTCCGCATGGCTGAACTTTATCCGGAGGACTTTTCATGTACTGATTGTGTTTTACTCAAGCAACAACTTCAGACTTATATTCATACCGTCCGGGATCATGATCAATTTTCTACGGTTGATGATTTAGGATGTCTTGCCAAGCAAATGGTTCAAACTGGAATGAACAAGGTTTTTTCATTGGTATACCATCTTATTGAGTTAGCTTTGGTTTTACCGGTTGCAACTGCTTCAGTAGAAAGAGTCTTCTCTGCTATGAAAATTATCAAGACTGGTTTGCGCAATAGGATGGGAGATGAATGGATGAATGATAGCTTGGTTGTATATATCGAGAAAGAGATATTTGCAACCATTGAAAATGAAGTAATTTTGCAACGCTTTCAACAGATGCGAACTCGCAGGACACAATTATCTCCCCTAATTTCCCAGAGTAGTTAGTTTTGGACTTATATGTAAACATTAAGCTTTACGACACTTAATTTAGACAATCGTATGTGTTTTTTTTCTAAATTTATTATGATGTATTTATTTGATACATTTCTCGGCACCTGCTCAAAAAAAGTTCTGGTTCTGCCGTTGATTGTTGTTGTGATATGTTCAAGTTAAGCAACTTTCAATTGCATAGTTAAGTCACACACTCCTGCTTCTGAGTGTTCTCATTCTCTACATTAGTTAGACGAACCATGAGGAAAGATTGTTCAAGTAAGTATTTTCTCAGGACAATTTCATTACTGACCAGGGGGCTTGTAATTCCTTAATTAGTATACGTTCATCACTCAAGGAAGAGATTTCATCCTGTGGAGAACGTATATGATCAGTGAAAATAGAATTAGAAGAATTTACCCTAAGCTCATCTTTTGAAATTTCAGTGCATTGGATATTACATAATGATGATGAGCAAGATGAGGCATCCATGTTTGATTCTTGAATGTCGCCTGTTGACACGGGTTTTATTGAATTATTTGCAAGTTTTTGGACCTTCAAAGTGTAGCTTAGACGAACTTTGACCTTTTGGTTTGGCTATGGTGAAATGAGCTCAGTTTTGACCTTGACTTCGGTGATTGACAATGTTTTTCGAAAAATGGAAGAAATATTCATGCATTTGTTTCACCACGGTCAAAACATCAACCATTCCTGCATACAATTTTCACAACTCCTTTTAATGAAATCTAATGTATGCAAAGATACCTAATCCAATCATTATATATTCATCAACAAAAGTCTGTCATAATAATTTCTTATATTTCACTATGTAAGTGGACTCATTCTTCTTTTCTTGCAATATGTATAAAATGATTTGTTTTATGATAACATGTTCTATCAATCTTGGTTTCGTTTGAGATGTATGTGTCAGGTTAACATCTTCTCCAAAACCATCCATACCATACACAAATAACAACATATATTACAAACATAGAACAAGAGGATTCAATTATGATATGATTTGAAACTTTCCATATTTTATTTGAAGATATATCTCGATCTCGTCAATCCACATTGAAGTCGCCTTTAATAAGTGTGACTAAACAAACTTAGAAATGCAAGTCTAGATGCAATCTCTTCATGTTGTTGTATATCAACTATACGATGTGAATATAAAAAGGTGATCCACTTATGTCTATCAGTGTGTGTATATTTGATAGAGATTATCTACAAACCATTTCATGGTAGTTGTCTAAAGTGAGATTCATACAGTTAAGGTGTTAAAGCAGGACTCAAGTTTTTTACTTGAAGATTAGAAGCAATTTTTCAGAAGTTGAGATAGACTAGCTTTTGAAAAACGCATTCTGATTCAACTTGTGCTTAAAAAAATAGAAACAATATGAAACATCCCTTAATAGAATTTTGAACAATGAGATGGGCATTATTAATGTTTTCAATTGGACCATGAATGTAAATGTGGAGTATTTTTTTTAAAGCCCCATAAATGTAAATATATGCATCATAAATGGCAAATTCACCATGGCATATGTATTCATTAATTATTACTCCTAATTCTGCATGTAACGTTAATTTCTTTGTTGGGCACAACATGTAAAGTGTTGCGGAGTTGGAGCATCTCCATTCATGCTATCTAAATAAATGATTTTTTTATTACACATCATTGCCACATCACATTTATTCAATAAATTTTAAATAATCTCAAAGTTTAAAACTCTTCATCAACAATAATACTCAAACAATCAGTTTTTTCCGAACATGCATTAAATGTAATTTAACTATAATCTAAAATAATCCGAGATTGGAATGTTGATACCGGATTTTCTTTTTCAATAATCTCACTAAATAATCTTTATTCACAATGACAATCTTTAAAATAATCTTACACATTGATCTTCAAATATAAGAGTTATGCTAGAGGTACAAACACTTTTACAAAAAGTCTCACAAAAGATGTATGTGGCATCATCACATTATTTAACACATCACATCACATTTACAATACTTTTACATCAATGGTAATTAGAATAGCCACATCACTTGTTTGTAAGTATTTTTGTAAGTGTGTTGTACTTAAATCGTTACAAAGTTTCAAGCATGCCCGAATCGGTTAATCTTGCCCACAATATGGCTTACATTCATAATTAAAATTCCGTTACTGATCATCATGCCCATAATCTTTGCAAAATACAGAGTGCCAGGCACCATGAAGTATCTCCGATAGATTCGGCGAGAAATTAGAGGGGAATCCGGAGAATCCCCAATCAGATGGACTCTTCTTCCCTATAGATTTCCACCTACTTTAGGGACTGGATGGCGGTAAACTTTCCATCCACCGCCCCCCTTTTAGACTCTATAGTCCATCAGGATTTCACTCGTCCCCTCACTGCCATGGATTCGCCGGCGGCTAAGAGATCGTACTGGCGGTTCAGCAAGAATGATTTCTTCCCCGAGCCCACTTTCCAGAACTTCTCCACCTACCTATCCGGCGTCGCCCAAACCCCGAAACGCCTTAAAGATCGGTTCTTGGATAGGTCCGATGAGACCACAGAGATGGTGGAGCTCCGCAAAGAGTCCGAGAATGAGATGCGCAAATGCCTGACTTGGTGGGATCTCATGTGGCTAGGGTTCGGGTCCGTCGTAGGATCGGGCATCTTCACAATCACGGGTCTTGAAGCCCACAACGACGCCGGCCCTTCCATCGTTCTAGCCTACGCAATCTCCGGTCTCTCTGCACTGCTCTCCGTCTTCTGCTACACCGAGTTCTCCGTCGAGATCCCAATCGCCGGCGGCTCATTCACTTTCCTCCGAATCGAACTTGGCGATTTCGTGGCGTTCTTAGCCGCAGGTAACCTTCTATTAGAAGCTGTGGTAGGTGCCGCGGGCTTAGGACGCTCATGGTCTTCATATTTTTCAAGTATCATAAAGAACGATCCCGATTTTCTCCGAATCAAGATTGATTCTTTCGCAGAAGGGTTCAATATGTTGGACCCCATAGCTGTGATAGTTCTGGCTATTGCTAATGGAATAGCCATGACTGGAACCCGCCGTACTTCGATATTGAATTGGTTAAGCTCCATGGTGACTGTCGGGATTATAGTTTTCATCATCATTGTTGGTTTCCTTCACGGGAAAACCGAAAATTTAACCCCATTTGCCCCATATGGGGCAGGAGGTGTATTTAGGGCAGCTGCTGTTGTGTATTGGTCTTATACAGGTTTTGATATGGTTGCCACAATGGCAGAAGAGACTAAAAAGCCCTCTCGGGACATACCCCTTGGGTTGATTGGTTCAATGTCCTTTATCACTGTACTCTATTGCTTAATGTCGTTTGCTCTTACTACAATGGTGAAATACACAAGCATTGATATAGACGCTCCTTATTCGGTTGCGTTTAATGGGATAGGGATGAAATGGGCAAAATATTTGGTGACTGTTTGTGCACTTAAGGGAATGACAACAAGTCTGCTAGTGGGGTCCATGGGTCAATCTCGATACACTACCCAGATTGCAAGAACACATATGATTCCTCCATGGTTTTCTCTTGTTCATCCGAAAACCGGAACCCCAATATATGCTACTCTGTTGACCACCATAACTAGCTGCATAATTTCGTTTTTCACAAGCTTGGATGTCTTGTCTAGTGTTTTCTCATTCTGCACGCTCTCAATTTTCATGCTAATGGCTGTGGCATTGCTCGTCAGGCGGTACTATGTTAAGGACCAAACAACAAAAGGTGATTTTATGAAATTCTTGACATACTTGTTTGTCATCATAGGCTCATCAATTGGAGTGGCCGTTCTTTGGAACAAGAATTACAGAGGATGGGTGGGGTATACGGTTTTGGGTGTTTTTTGGGGTTTAGGGACCCTAGGAATGGCATTGCTTCCGAAGGGAAGGGTTCCAAAAGTTTGGGGAGTTCCTCTTGTTCCTCTCCTACCATCGGTGTCGATTGGGATGAACTTGTTTCTTATTGGATCTCTTGGACCCGCTGCATTTTACAGGTTCTTTATATGCAGTGGGGTGATGCTGGTTTACTACCTCCTTGTCGGTGTCCATACTACTTATGATATGGCTCATCAAACTCATAGGGACTTGATCATAGAAGATGGAAAGGGGGCTTCTGATCAGTTGTCGTAGTAATAGGTCATTTTTTCTTGATTATTATTTATATGTTCTTTTCTAATAGTCAATAATGCCCAGGAACTGCAGTCTTTATTTGTGTAAATTTCTCATAGATGTGCAGGTTCTGTGGTACAATGGTCATATACTATTTAATTAGTTTGGTTTTATTTCATTTTAGGATAATTTTCTTTGTTTGTCTGCACGGAGGTTCACAACAATGAGATGACCGATTGCAAAGTAAATGTCAATGAAGAATAAATCATCTCCTTCATTATTATGTCAAAAAGGCTTTTTGATGTACTTCGTTTGCTTAATGTCATTCTTCTCTTGTAAATACACATTAAGGGCCTGTTTGGAAGCATTACAAGTTTGATTCTTTCTTGTTTTCTTAGAATTACCGTAAAGAACGTTACATCTTTTGCATTGTCAATATTGATTCTTTTGCAAAAGGAATAAAAGGTTCCAAAAGTATAGTGAGTTGACTCAGTTCCAGTTGTCAATTATCAATTGTGATTAACTTGTTACATATAGGATCACGTGGCTGATGCATTCTAGTGAACTATCCAAAAGTTTTATCTTTGAAGGCCATGAAGGGTATCCAGAAGTTTATTGAAACCTGGATACATGCAAAAAGAAAAGATCAATACATGGGTTTTCTACTTTTAGCGCTCCAATATTGGACCTATTTTTCCAAAACAAAAAAGAAACTGGAGGGTGTTTTTCCTCTCAAAAAGGGCTTTTATTATTCTTCCATTGATCAAACATTTTCGTGTTAGACGTCTTAGACCTTTAAGAAAGCCTTCTCTTCACATCTGGTCGGCCTGCAGCAAGAACAGCAGCAGCTCCATCTGCTGCCTTTCTCCATTACCCACCTGAAGTTTTTACACCTCGGCTTTCAACCACTCCTTCACCTTCTCCGTGGCTTCTTTTTAGTTATGCTTTCTGCACTTCTCTTGCTACCAACTCTTTCACAACTTGTTTGAACTATGTAGCTACTTCTTCCTCATTTGCTTTGGCTATTGTTACTTCCAAAGCTTTTCCACTTATCAGTGAATTCAGGCTGTTGTTTTCTTGACTGAACTTTTAAAGCTCTGTTTCCTTATCTTCTAAGCTCCTCCTGATGTCGAGGACTATCAATGAACGACAGAAAGCCAATGATGTGAACAATCTGAATCTGAGCAAGAAGTTCTAAGGTGAGATGGATCTCATGGCAACAGCCGTTGAGGCATAGTTGATCCCATTTGTTTCCCCCCTTGATCTTGCCATTTGGATTTTCTGAGAATGTAGGAGGTTCTTGTCCATGAGAACAGGAGAAAGCTTAAGAAAAAGATTTCATGCAAATATTACAGTTTCCCATGGACCATGGCTGCTATTATGGTTGTTGATTTGAGGAAGAAAAATGATAGAAACAAGAAAGAAGAATGAAATGTTTTTTATGTACACCATGGTGTAATTAAATCCCACAGGAAAGAAGAGTGAACACTAGTTGGTTTCTGACCGATCGGATATGGTCCCAAATATAAGTAGTTAAGTACCTTAATAAGAACAAATAAAATTGTTCATGTTCTGGGTACTAGAATTGGATCCAGATCTAATTCTACCCGTTTAGTGTACATTTTGGTGTATACAAATAAGAAGTGGTGCAGTTATTAAGAAAATTGGGTCCGATTAAAAACTATACAAAGTTTACCAAATTTTGTATGAGACAATTTTTTATGCAACAAACTGAAACACATGGGATAATCTTAGCAGGACGGAAAAAAATTTATTTTGTTCATATAAAACCCCCATTGTTTGTGGACTTGTGCATAAGTAGTACCCCATCCCCGAGGGCCCCTGCATCGGCCGGAATGTAATCTGAGAGGAAGTAAATTGATCTTTAATCACAAAACGATAGATAGTGAGTGAGACTTTGTCAGGTACTTGCAGAGACCCAAATCACTTTTACATTGAAATTCCTCATCGCAATTGACATGATTCGAACCTGAAACTTCTTATAGCGCACTCTATCTACCAGTTGAACCATACTCACCGGCTACATAAGTACTACAAATCCGTATTATAGTACTCCTTCCATCCCGAATTGAATTACAAGCTTTGACCGGTACAAGAATTAAGAAATGATAATAAATGATGCTTGTTTTTTACACTTTTGCCCATCTTTCTAAGAGGTCGTTTGGCAGCATTGTTTTTCGGCTTATCAGGCTTATCAGCCAACTTTTTCACCAAACACGTAACTTTTACTTTTGCGCGTTGAATTGTGTAATAAGCAGAAAAAGTAAGGCTGGAGTTACTTTTCTGGCTGTATTGGCTGAAGTTACTGTAGATGATCATTTTAGCTATTTTTACATATAATTTTTCCTTTATTTTATTAATAAAATATAGTTTGAAAATATTTTTTTCTTAAATCAGCAGAATCAGCCAATAAAGCCAATTCAGCCAGAACTTCATAAATTTCAGCAGGATCAGCCAAATCAGTCGATTTTCATGCTACCAAACGAGCTCTAAAAGTAGATGTCTTTAAGTTAATGGGAAAAAAGTAAAAGTAAGAGTAAATTTGTCACTTTATTCTTATTTACATACCTAAAATAGAAAATGGAAAATCATTTTGAGACAAAAAGAATTGCAAATCAAATTGGGACATTTATGATGTATAAAAAGCAAACTCTAGAAATGAGAAGAAGAAAAAAGGAAAAATAACCCGCACGGGTAACTCAGTTGGTCGAGTGGTGTGAGATTTGGAACAATGGATCAAGGTTCGAATCTCCGCAGCGACCGAGTGGAGGTCACAGAACCTGAAATAAGGCTGGACCTCTGGTGCGCACGGGTGTATGAGCCTACTGCCATTCTGCTTACTGAGTCACCGTTACTAACCTCTCCACCATCATGTCGGGTCAGGGTGGGGGCTCCTGGGTTGGGAGATTCCACCTTTTGGAACAAAAGAAAAAGGAAAAATATGGATGATAGAAACATGCTTTTGTGGATCAGTGCAAAAAAGCAAGCTAATTAGCACTACTCGATGCACAATACCAATATATCGTCAAAAGGTGTGCAGACTGCAAAGTTGTCTCCACATTTCGAGCAACACTTCTTCATAGTTTCACATTCCAAATCTGAGGACCCACTTCTTGTAGTTCTTTGATGGATAGAAAAAAAGAAAAAGAAAAGGTTATTAGTGTTGTAAAATCCTGAGAATGACAAGTGTGAATTGTTCATCCTTATCATCAGGACACTAATCCAATTTCCATCCTTGTAATAGACAGATGGCTAGGTTTAATGTTTTCAGCAGATTATGTAGAATAATTCTTTGATGATTCATCTCCTAGCCAAACTAGTATAAATAGGGTGATCAACCCTTTGTAAATGAACTCAGAAATAATTTAGAGCTTTTATCTAGTATAAATAGGGTGATCAACCCTTTGTAAATCAACCCTTTGTAATAATTTAGAGCTTTTATCTATATATCTATCTCTTAAATTTGATCTTCATCCTCTTCATTTCACAACACGTTATCAGCACGAATCTGCTCAAAAGTACTCAAGAAATCATCTACCTGCAGGTATGAGCATATAATATGTATTACTCTGTATCTTCCTCAATAGGTGAAGAAAAAGAAAAGGAATAAATAGTAACAAACATGCTTCGTGATTAGTAAACAAGGAAGAAGAAATATAGATAATATGCATACCTGTATAATATTTATCAATCCAAATGAATTCTTCATATAAACAATGAGAAATATGGATACACCATAATAAGGGGAAAAAGTATTCTGCACTTATAGTAGCCCATATTCTAAGGGACACTTTGTTGATCATACGGAGTATACGTAAGTAAAGAAAGAGAAGTAAAATGAGCTGTTGAGAATATTGAAATATACTGAGGTCACGTACTCTTAATAAACAAAATAGTCACGGGGTGTTAGAGCACAAGTTTACATGCTCTGTCTACACTTTTTTCCATGTAACAGAATGTAGCAAGACTTTTGCATATTATCTAGGTTTCATGCATGCCACGTAGCTTTTGCACTATATGTTATTAAGTTGTTATTCGGTGGTTTTTGTTGTATCTGTTCAAACAAATCAGTAAAATAAATTTTACTTGTGAGGACATTACATATGTACTTACACTTGCATGCAATAAATTTCAGAATTTTAATTTTACTAATCTTTGTATATGGATTATCAATTTTTTACAATCGAACATGATATGTCATTTTATTTTCGTTAATACATACGTAAATTAGGCATGTTTATATAATTATGGATTGATGTACATGCAAATTAAAGTTAATTAATGAAATTAATTAAAAAGGTATAGTGTGTTCGTAACTGACTAATTTAGATACGGAGTATAATTTACTAATTAAATAAATTTTTGTAGTATACATGTCCAACATAAGCAAACGAGAATTCGACGTTCTTGATCTATCCGGTCAAAAATACCTGGAATGGAAAGTTGATGCTTTAGCACATTTGAAGGCTAATGGTCTTGAAGACACCATAGAGACTGATAATCAATCATCCTCCCAGGACAAAGTGAAACTATTATTTTTCTCCGTCACCATCTCCATGAAAGTCTCAAATCTGAATATCTTTTGGTAGATGACCCAAAAGAATTATGGGACAATTTACAGGAGAGGTATGGCCACCAACAAAAGGTCCTTTTGCCTAAGGCTCAGTATGACTGGATCAATCTAAGATTACAGGACTTTAAATCAATCAGTGACTATAATTCTGCTATGTTCCAAATAACATCTAAATTAAAGTTATGCGGATAAAAAGTCACTGATGCTGATATGTTGGAGAAAACCTTTTCTACTATGCATCTCTAACATGTTGCTCCAACAGCAATATAGAGAAAAGGGTTTTAAAAATACTCCGACTTAATATCAGTATTATTGGTAGCTGAGCAAAATAATGACCTTTTGATGAAAAATCATAATCTGAGACCCACTGGTTCTAGTCCTTCGGTTTATGGTCCAACTGGCCATAATTTAGTCACTGAATCAAATGCAACATACAGTGGCAGTAGAAGGCATTTTAAACGTGGACATTTTAATGGTCATAAAAACAAGTCACACCGAGAATATAAACAGGTCAATAGACCAAATTATAAGGGCAAGGGCAAACAAAAGGCCCATCAAATAAATCGCCCTCCAAAAACCTCGGTAAAGACGACTTGTTATAAATGTGGCATGACGGGGCATTGAGCTAACAAATGCCGCACTGCAAAGCATCTGGTGGAATTATTTCAAGCTTAGCTTCCATGAATTTGAACAACGGCAAAAATATGGAAGCTAATTATGTCAACGACACGACTCCACCTCTGCCAAAATTTGATGTGTCCGACTTTTTCGCGGATGATGCCATTATGGACGATGCTTTTGCAATAAACCAAAATGTCACAAAATAAAATATTAGACTCCGATCCTTATGTTGTAACATATTAGT